CCACCCACCTACTCACCCACCCACCTACTCACCCACCCACCTACCTACTCACTCACCCACCCACCTACCTACTCACCCACCTACCTACTCACCCACCTACCCACTCACCCACCTACTCAACCAGCCACTTATCTACTCACCCACCCACCTACTCACCTACCCACCCACCACCCACCTACCTATGCACCCACCCACCCACCTACCTACTCACCCACCCACCTACCCACCCACCCACCTACCCACTCACCCACCCCCCACTCACCCACCCACCTACCCACTCACCCACTCACCCACCTACCCACTCACCCACCTACCTACTCACCCACCTACCTACTCACCCACCCACCCACCTACTCACCCACCCACCTACTCACCCACCCACCTACCTACTCACTCACCCACCCACCTACCTACTCACCCACCTACCCACTCACCCACCTACCCACTCACCCACCTACTCAACCAGCCACTTATCTACTCACCCACCCACCTACTCACCTACCCACCCACCCACCCACCTACTCACCCACCCACCTACCTACGCACCCACCCACCTACCTACTCACCCACCCACCTACCCACCCACCCACCTACCCACTCACCCACCCACTCACCCACCCACCTACCCACTCACCCACCCACCTACCTACTCACCCACTCACCTACCCACTCACCCACCCACCTACTCACCCAGCCACTTACCTACCTACTCACCCACCCATCTACTCACCCACACACCTACTCATCCACCTACCTACTCGCCCAACACCCGCCATTCGCCACGAAGTGACGGCGGCGTCACCACGGTGCTTGTGACAGGCCAGGTGCACTTTGAGGCCACGTTGCTTGCTTGCTTAGGACCGTGCAAATCTTTAGGTCGTTTTTTAACCCACTTCCCGTGATCCAATCGAGCTGACATTTTCCACACAGACTCGTTGTGCGTGACAATTTATTTTCGTGAATTTTTTTTCTCCAAAATTTGACACTGTTTAGGGAATTTTTTAAAAATATTTAATTACCAATTGCTTAATGCTGGCAGACAATCATCTGACCCATAGGTGGCAGCCATCTCAAGCCAGAGGACGAGAGGACTTTAGCCGCCACACATATAAAGGATTTAGAGTGAAAAACTTTGTTTTTACGGGTTAATTTTTTTATTTGACCAGGTAAGGCCCATTGAGCCGCGTAGCTTTTTTTAAGAAGCGACCTGGCCACAAATGAGAGCTCAACGAAGTCGCTCATCATCAACACGTGGACATTTATGTCAGCCCAATACTCTAAATGCGTGATGTTGATTTAAATGTGGAGGGAAAACCCGGTGGACCCGGAGAAAAATCGACGCGACCATGGGAAGTGAGAGAAAGAAAGCACACAAACTCCAGTAATCGAGTAACAGGCATCGTCAGCCACCAGTCGTTGGACTTGTTTGCCATTTGGTCAGCGGATTACGACTTGCCACTGCCAAAGCAAACACTGCGGCGTCCTCTACTTACCCACATACCTACCTACCCATTCATCGAAGCAGAATCTGAATCTTTTTTTTTTATCCTTTTGGTTGTGATTTTGTTTTTGACCAAAATATTTCGAGAGAGCCACATTACACACAGAGCTACCTGTACACCACAACCACACACAGCAGGTACCAGCAGACAACAACAACAGTCCCAGACCACACCAAAACAACAACAACAGTCCCAGACCACAACAAAACAATAACAACAGTCCCAGACCACACCAAGACAACAACACACAGCAGTAGTAGTTGCTCAATGCATGGAACATGAAACTGTCGACATTACGTGGGTAAGGATCAAAGAATTACAAATCGCATTTTGCAAATGCGGTTGTATCCTGCACCAAAGTTCCGCTTCAGGATAATAATTTCGTCGAAGGAAGATTTGGCGACATTTACGGATAAGGAATGAGGTCGACCTGATAAACCCTCGGTAGTCATTGCGATGGTCCCCAATTACTCTATGCACCAATAGACTGCATTGGGATATTTACGTCCTTGATGGCGTCGAGATGTCCGCATTTGATGTGGACGATCGTAAGGATGATGGAGGAGAGGATGCCACCAATCGTCATCACGGACACTCCAGCGATCTGTGGAACAAAAGGTCCGTGTTCACAAACTGCAAATTAACTTCTGCATCTCCCTCGCTGTGCCCAGACAGCACCGACAGACAGAGTTATGCAGACAGACGGAGTGATGCACACAGACACAGGTGATGCACACAGACACAGGTGATGCACACAGACACAGGTGATGCACACAGACACAGGTGATGCACACAGACACAGGTGATGCACACAGACACAGGTGATGCACACAGACACAGGTGATGCACACAGACAGACACAGGTGATGCACACAGACAGACACAGGTGATGCACACAGAGGGAGTTATACAGACAGACGGAGTGATGCACACAGACACAGGCGATGCACACAGACACAGGTGATGCACACAGACACAGGTGATGCACACAGACAGACACAGGTGATGCACACAGACAGACACAGGTGATGCACACAGACAGACACAGGTGATGCACACAGACACAGGTGATGCACACAGACAGACACAGGTGATGCACACAGACAGACACAGGTGATGCACACAGACACAGGTGATGCACACAGACACAGGTGATGCACACAGACAGACACAAGTGATGCACAAAGACAGACACAGGTGATGCACAGGCACTGCAGGGATATTTCTAGCTTTGAAGATTTCGTGACTGCAAGGATTCCCATTCTTGGGTTTTTTCGGTAAAGTCACGTAGGTAGAAAATTGATACAGCTATCGTGCTGTGACTGTTCCACCTGAAGACGGAGGCTTGTGTTGCCACCGAAACGTCGTGTTTTTTATTTCATTTTTATTTTACTTTTATTAATTTTAAATTTTTACCTACGTGACTTTACCGAAAAAACCTAAGAATACTGCAGGGATATCTCAGTTGGAGCGGGGAGGGGGGGAGGTTGATGATAGGAACGGAGGCGGTGTGTGAGGATGACCGTACCCAAGAGTCCGAGATGCACTCCTCGTATAGCAACACGTTGTCCGCTGCGTTTCTCTCCACGAGGCAAGGCGAGTCCCTGGGGAAGCCGCCTTGGATGCAGCAGACCGCCTCCGAGTTGAGCAGCGCCACGGACAGCCACGACACGGAGGCCACGAGTGTGAGCGCGCCGTAGTACGCGAGACGCGTACACTTCTTGTCGGGGTCACGGCGAGCTCTGCACGCCTCGTAGATGGGGGTGGCGAGGGACACGGCCAAGATGAAGATGGGACCCAGGAGGGTGAGCCAGCCGAACGCCACGCCAAAGTTGCAGGGGCAGTCGGTGATGTGGTTGAAGATCTCCTGAAGTCCGATCATGAGCAGAGCGGCCAAGCCGTTGCTCAGAGGGATGCTCTTCGCTACATTTTCCCCGAAATGTGCCCAGGTGCTGACCCATGCTGGGCTGGCGACGCTGTTCTGCCATTGTGGTGGTGGTGATCGTGACGATGCTGCTGATGCTGCTGTTGATGCTGCTGATGATGGTGATGATGGCGAGTCACCAAGAGGGGTTGCAATGGAGCACTTCCCGTTGGTGCGGGCTCTTAAATGACAGCCGGCATCATTCGAGGCCGTTGGGACGCCCACCCCCCCCCAAGTCGGATTTTTCAGTTCCTCATCTGAGGTTACGTGAGGACGGAGAGGGGTGCACACCTAGCCTCGGGGCGTCAACTGCCGTCACCTTGAACGGGGTCACCGCTCTCCAAGTGACAGCGGTGACCCCTGAGGTGGCCTGGAGATCGTGGGTTCGATACCGACCCAGATGACGCCTGTTGCTGCTGCTGTATATTTGGAGTCTGCGTCTTTCTCTCTCTCCCCGTGGTCGCGTGGATTTTTTTCTCCGGGTCATCCGGTTTTTTTTCCCCTCCCATATTTAGTCATCAACGCAGGGCCGTATTATACAATAGGCCACGGTAGGCAGTGTGACTAGGGCCCTACTCACTCCCCCACTCACCCAGCCACCTACTCACCCACTTACCCACTCACCCAGCCAATCACTCACCCAGCCACCCACTCACCCTGTCACCCACTCACTCCACCAATCACCCCACTCACTCCCCCAATCACCCACTAACCCACTCACCCAGCCACCCACTCACTCCCCAATCACCCACTAACCCACTCACCCAGCCACCCACTCACTCCCCCAATCACCCAGCAACCCACTCACCTAGCCACCCACCCACTCACTCACCCAGCCACTCACCCACCCACTCACTCAACCGACCATCCACTCAATCAACCAGCCACCCACTCACCCAGCCACCCACTTAACCAGCCACCACTCACCCACCCACTCACTCACCGACCCACCCACCCACTCACCCACTCACACCCTACTCACTCACTCACCCACCAGCCACCCACTCACCTACTCACTCACTCACCCACCCACCACTACCCACTCACACCCCTACCCACTCACTCACTCACCCACCCACTCACTCACCCACCCATCCATCCACCCACCCACCAGGGTGTATTATACAATATGCACAGTAGACACATTGTCTCGGGCCTACGGAAACTAAAGGGCCTACAAAAACAAATATTGACCATGTTTTTGTTCGTATGATACAAAATATATTCTTGAATACATATATTTATATAGCAAGGATAGGCACAGTGTAGATACAAAGAGGCAGAGCCGTGTCAACGTCAATAGTTTTGTTCATAAGGCGAGAAATAAATTAACACCGGAGATTAACTTTTCGAGATTTTTTGTTAATTGCAAAATTATCAATAACATCTTCAAATTGCGTTTTTCGCGAAATCTCATTCATTATTGTTGCCACTTAATTCGCTGGCTGCTCGTTGCAATTTCTTCGCAGTGGTAACAAGGCGTTGACTCTTTATATGTGAGGCAAATTGCACCTAAAATAAGAGTCGAACAAATCTTTAAGTGCGAATGAAATTAAATCAACATGGCCCCCGCCATGCGGTCTGTCCCGTCAGAACACTGAATTTGTTATCGAAGAAAATGAACGGCATCCTGTTCAAGCTGCGTAATCCGATAGACATTTACGATCATAATGTTAGGCTCACCTTCA